TTGGAAATGGTGATGGAGAACTGGAAGGCACTGAACATGAGCTTTCGGCGTTGGACATTTAACTCCGTAAGTCCGTAAGTTTTTACTAGATTGGGATGAAAAATGAGAGATGCAACTAATATTGAGCACAAGCTGAGGATGAACTGATTCCAATTTAGCGGCAAAGCTCCCACTACTTATCAGCACCAATTTAATCGAAACACCAGGATATCAAGATAAGAGTTCACCAAGGAATAGCTTCGAAACTTTCCACTCTTTTTAGCACACCAGGCGGCTGCAGCATCTATGCAATAATGGCTGCTTAAAGATAAGACGGCTAATTGATAATGAAGGCGTCATACTGATAAGTGGAACAAGACTGCAGTTCTTATCAGTGAAGCCGTCATTATAAGTGACGCATTAGTCCTGCATCAGGGAAACTGTCATTAGTCACTTCTTGAAACAAGACTCATTTCATTTCAATCGCTCCTCAGTTCAGCCATTTATTAGAGTATTTCATCCATGTCATCATGCTAAGGAGAACTTTTCGGGTAAAGGAAAAAGTACAAGTCCTCGATGCCGTCACTTCCATCTGGGAAAGTGCTGTAATTTTATCCTTAATCAGCGATTGGAGCGTAAAGATTAAATGGTTTAATTGGCCGGGCAGTGCCATTTTGAGTGTCCCTAAAGACAGCAAAGAAAACGCAGCAGCATGGAATATTAAAAAAGTTTCACGAACACAATGATAACTGTGTCATCAGCAGAAGGCGGAATACGAGAAAAGAGAAACTATCGTTCAACCCCTGACGGCTGCACAGGGAATGGATGGTCTTTTTTGAACATGCTGGGATTGGCAAAAAAGAGATTGTCATCATTAAAGACACTTTCGTGGCCCAGTGCACAGTTCGTTTGGTCGACAAACCTGAGGATACTGCGGGGAATGGACCATCATGCAGTGGCAGTTTATACGTTAGGTACTCCGAGTTGAGAAACGAGTCACAAGGTGAGTCAAGGAAACGAGTCGCCGGAGAATCACTGCCAGACGATTTCATGAAATTCATGATTAAGGATGCTGAGAAATCTAGACCCGAACAAAAACCCTCAGAGCCCAAGGCCAAAAAAAACAAACAAAAAGGAAAAACCGCAGGAAGATATTTTGAGTCGCCTTGATTATTTTGAGTTGCCAGAAAATGACCTTCTTTTGAAGTTTGCTCCATGCATCAACGATGTAATACAGGTAAAATTATCATGTAACTAATCAAATTTGTAATTAATCTACTAATTAATCACATCCAACTATTCGTATCTTCTGTATGATCATCGATTGCATCTGATATTCTGAAATATTTAATATACCGTATTCTAATTATACACCGTATTTTAATTTGTGATTTTAGCTAGGATCGACTATCTTGCGCGCCGGAGAAAAGTTCCGTGTTGATTATTTTAAATTCGATTATTCGAAGAAATGAGCATTCGCTGGAATGAGTTCCATCGAAATTGCGGATGTCACCCTGAGAATGCCTTCTGTTTTGGCGGAGCTTGCTTAAGAAGATTTTTTGATATGTAGCTGTTTGTTTCAATTTCGTAGTTTTTCCAAAAACATATGATTTATTCTTTTATTCTCTTGTGCTCCTGGGATTCTGTGCTAAGAGAAAAATGGGTTTTGTTGCCAGCAAAAAACAAACGTGAGCTAGACACTGATCCAATTTCTCAAGTTCGAGGAACACAGAGATTTCCTCATGAGCACAATCTGATGCCATATAAATGCATGCCGTGGTAGATATTCCGTCGAGGATAACTACCGAGAAGTATTTAGACGTTATATGGCCGAGTCCGCCCAGGATTTTTTTCATGACTTGGAATGAACAGCTTGAACTGTTTATACTGTTTGATGTCATGACTGTTTTGTTATGACTGTTTGTTTTTAATTGAGCTCTTTAAACTAAGAGTAATTTGCCGTATTATTTTTTACTGTATGCAGTCTGAAAAATATGCCGGCCCATCAAAGTTGCCAATAAAGAGCAAACTATCTATTTGGTTCAATTTGCTCATAGAAAGTAAATTTTCTATTAAGAGAAACTTATTTGAGTAAATCTGTTTTAGATTAAAAAAAACTTGAACAACTACAGCTGAAATAAATGTTAATTGCAAAAACAAAAAAATGTTCCCGAAAATTTTGTCTTATCAAACTATATGTTCGCAATTCGAAAACACTTGAGAAAAAGGCTAAGCTAAAGTATTTATATTTTAATTGAATGAAATGAATTGATTAATTTAGATGCGAGTTTACTCCAGAAGTTTGTTCAATTTGTTCACTTTGCAGGAATTGAGATTAATGGCAGGAATTGGGATCGAAGTTGGGCTACAGGAATTGGGATCGAAGTTTGGTTACAGGAATCGGGATCGAAATTGGGTTACAGGAACTGGGAACGAAGATGGGTTACAAGAATTGAGATCGAAGTTGGTGACAGGAATTGAGACTGGTAGATGATCAATGTAGCTGAGATTGAACTTGTTGGTGAACACCTAGTAAATAAAAGATATAAATTAAAACGTTACCACATATAAACATATTTGGAAATGGAATCCGCAAACAAAATGCGGGTTCCACTTACAATTTGCGGATTCCACTCTCAATTTGCGGTTTCCACTTACAGTTGCTGATTCCGGAACAGCTCAATTTAACGATACAAATGTCTTATCATTTGTTTGTGGATTCAACAAAATGTTCTGGATTCCGCAAATACAGTTGCGGATTCCGGAAATTCGCCTATTTTTGGAGCGACTTTGAGCGGTACAATGATTTAGGTATTTGTTTGTGGAATCGAAAACAGCACAGAAGGTCAAAGAAAAGTAGCAATGTTGCGAATTCCGCGACAAATCTGATTTTGGTCTGTTGCGGAATCCGCTTACAATGCAGAGAATGCACAATTTGGCCTCGTAATGTTGAAGGAAATGTTATAAGAAATGATAGTCGAAATGAAACATGCAATTGCAGGCCCCAATCATATTATATCCAGAAATATTGGAATCCCATTGAGTGACGTAGAAATTTATTAGGGGATTGGAAACAAACCTGTGAATATTGACTGAAGTGGTGACATCTGATTATTGGTTGACAGCTGCTTGACATTGTTGAGGAAACACTCCTCCAATAGATCAGTTGAATGACATGAAAGTTTGGTCTGGGACGGCAAAGGTTCCTGAGTTCGAATTTCCAATATGGCCAGGACGTGTTTTTTTTTCGTTTTACGTTTTACGTTTAAAAAAATTGTTGGCCTGTTTTTTTTTTTGCTGTGAGCCAAACTGCTTGATAGTTGAAAGGGTTTTTGATATGTTCCGTCAAGTTAAGATTTCTCAGGTTCAGATTTTTTTTCAAATTGTTTTTTTTTTTGCTTAAAAGTTCTATTGAAATCCTTAATAATTTGCCTTAATTGTTATCGCCGTATTGACGCATTATTTGAGCTCCAAAGAGAAAAATGTCGGCTTCTTTCCGCTCGCTAATTGTCATTGAATACTTATGCAACGCTGGAAGTTGTGCTTGTGTTTTTCTTCAATTGATAATCATTCCAGGCAAGATTTTGCAAATTTGTAGTAAGGGTTTTTCGTATTTGGTTTTCAATTTTTTTTCGTCTTAGTTTCTTCCCTTTCTTTTTCTGTCTGATAGCTTTCAATGCTATGTTTTTGTGGTTTTGCAAGTGTGGGGCTCCTGTTGGCTTCTTTGTTAATTCTTTTTTTTTTCAGTAATTACTGAAGAACTGCAGGATTTTGCGCGTTTTTTTAGTAGTGTGAAATCAATTCAGCATAAATAGTTTGTTTAATTTTGTCTTTGTTTTTTTTGCAATCTTATTTGCTTTCAATGGTTGATACTTTTGCCGTTTAGTTAGTTTTCATGATCGATTTTTCAAGAATCACTGAAGTATGGCAGGATTTACTTCACTCTCTAAAGACAGCGCTCCTAGCTGAAACATGAGAAATGGTTATCATAGGAATGATTGCAAGAAACAAATACGCTTTTTTAACGTATGATTGTTTGAACGGGACTATTTTGCAAAATTGCTGGAAGAGCTGTAAACATTGATTGGTGTGCCGACACTCTTGGTCGTCAGCGGGACACTAGAAAGACATGTGTTAAGAGACCTTCCTCCAATCGGTTTTCGGGTTCTTCTACCGTTCTCATCGTCTCGCAACATGTAGTTTTCTGTGTTTTTACCTTTTGACCTCGTAGTCAAATTTTCATGAAACTTTGCCTTTGGCTGCATTAAACAAGTAATAACACATTTTCTCCCTATTAACACTTTCGTAAAATGAATGATTACACAGTAAAATTGATGTTTACAGACAAAAAAATGGCATGTGGGGATGGGTCAGTTGAAGAACCGGTTTTTGAAGTCAGTCTTTTTTCCGTCTTATCTCAGTAGACTGTTTTTTCAGTATCATCATCGGTATTTGTTTTTGAAAAATTAGTCTTTTCTGCGTGTGGTAAATTGTGCCATTTTTTTGGTGACTTCTCTGCCCATTGCGTGTGTTACATGTTGGATCATTTAAAAATTTGCTGATGTGATCTACTCTTCTGTGTCGTTGAATTTTTATTTGCATTCAGTTTTTCTGCAGTTATGATCTTCTGAGCGGTTCTGTTCAAACCAACTTAAATCAATCGATTATCTTTAATTTACGTTGTACGTAGAAACATACGACATAAACATTGCTTCTTCTGTTTATACTTAACTTTATTCCAAACAATAAAATTTTCTATTATTTTTTTTTTCATGAATTACGTATTCTTAAGTGTAAAATAGTTCTAGTTGGACAATTTTTTTAATCGGTGTTTAGATATAGGAGTGGGCGGTTTAGCTTCGTTTTATGAGCGTGTTCTTGAGTGTGCCAGTTCTAACACCTGTTTCAACCCGTTACTTTTCATATCGTGCCTTAAGCGGTAAATTATTGCAATTTTAGAGGTTTTTAAAAAAATGTCAGAATTAGATGTCACGTATTTGATAACTCATGTCATTACAGAAAGAAAGTTAAAAGAAAACTCTGAACTTGCTAGGGAGACTGGTTGAAATTTACATGGGGATGTCTTCCTTTCTACATGAAGTTCCTACCTTTTCCAATAATTTAAGTGATCTAAATAGCGAAAAGTCAAACTGCAGAATGGACTAAAAGCGCGGGCACCAACATTGCTTCTGAAAGAAGTCAGCAGTGATTTTTCATTTTCGAGGGAAGTCATTTCCTGGAAGTTGTGCTGTTTGCTTAATCATTACATTGGTTACACATTGATCCGGGAACGTGAATTTGCTATTACATATGTAACCATTTTAGCTCTTTCCCTCGTTTGTAATAAGGCAGCACTTGGAAAGCTGCGAAAGAGATTGAATTTCGAACTTGCATCTAAACCCAAATCCGAATCAGATAGTATTGTTGATTTTAAACCCTTTAAACTTTTGTACCCTTAAAAATTTAAAAGTGACCCCTGGACAAAATGAAGCCAGAAGAAATGACAGCTGTACAGGAGCGGAGGTTCCGAAAGAGTGTAGACTACTTCAGGAAGAACAGAGAGATCTACGTGAGGAGGATCAAGAAAATTCTAGAAGAATACAAAAATGCTCTGGCTGCGGAAAGAGCGGACGAAGACTCAGATGTTCTGGCAAGTGTTCTCTCGTCTTTTCAATATGAATGGATTTTTTCAACAGTTTTTTAAATTTTGTGACAACCGTGGAAAAATACACTATCTTTTTAATTGAAATCTGAGGTTAATGGAAAACATTCAAGATGACACTGAATGGATATTTGTAATTAGTGTTTGTCGAAGTACTTGTACTGAAAATTTCTGCGTTGAAAAGAGTAGAAATGTATACACAATTTGATTGTCTGAACAGTAATAGCCTTTTTCTTTTTTCCCCACATGCGAATTTCAAGAAGTAATTTTTCCTTTCTTTCATTTAATTGTTGCAAAAACTGGCATGCGGACTAATTGGGCCATGACAAACATTTGGGCCATGACAAACATTTAGGCCATGACAAACATATTTGGGCTTATTCTTAACCTTGTAAACTCACTCGTTACACTTAAAAATTATAATAGTCATCATAATAATTTTATTTTCAGGCTGATTGTATACATTCCGATAAATATGTTTGAATTTCTATCTATAAATTTGAGGTAGGGGAAAAGGTAAAAGAGTCCAGTAATAAAATGTGTAGTTGGAAAAAACTCATTTCATGCAAACAACCGTATGAACAGTTTATTTACCCTTAGTAACAACTTCATTTTGTAATTTTACAAGCATCATGATGAGTGTGTGATATCTCTAGTAAGGGATTTGATTATTTCAGCAGCTGTCAGAAGCATTCAGTTTGAAATCTCTAATTCCGGACAAGGTATACAACATGCCTACAAGCAACACGCCCTTTAGTTTTCCGGCGACGCCATCGCTCAATGGAGGAGGAGATGCTTCCCTCTTTAGTCCTTGGCCCATGCTAGGAATGGAAACTCCTATGAGTGATCCAAATTTCACTTTTCCGCTGCCGACCACGCCGATGAATCTAACAGGCACAACTCCCGAATGCACGACTCCAGGTGCTGCGGCCGCTGCCTTCGGCTACAGTAACTTCGGCGGCATGAACGCATTCTACTCGAACCTTCCGACCACATTTTGCTCGTGTGCGGATTGCGTAGGGAAGAATAGTGTCGATACTGTGAATGTTAGCAATTCGTACAGCGGGTTGTATTCATCAGACGAGAGTGCCTCTACTATGCAGAAGTCGGGATCCAGTTCAGGGTCGCATCAAAAAGACGAGAACAACCGTGCAATGAACCCAGCATCGCAATACCCTTCAACCGATTCGAACGAACTGGATACAGAGTCGCAATTTGACTTGCCCTATTTCTGCGCAACGGGCGCAAACAATGGGAACAACCAAGAGAAAAACTCATCTGGCAAAGAGAGTTTCAACCTGACACCTCCTTCGTCTGAGAAAAAGGCGGTAGAACAGAGTAATGATGGTGCTTCAATTGATAGTCAGGCTAGTAAAATAGTCCAACAGAAAGCGGCTTATCAGACGGAAAATCGCGCTGCTTTCAATGGACTGACTCACGAAAACATTGACTACTATGCCAGCATGAACTCGTTTCCGAACAACGGCTCTAATGCGACCACTTTGTTTCCAAATTACAACCGAGCAGCGATAGGTGCAGGAGATACCGGATCCATGGGTTTCCGAAGCTCGAGCGACCAGGCACAACAAACAGCTGCGACGTCTGCAAATAGTTCGCATCACGATAACTCGCTTCATCAAGCGCCTGTGATGATGTACAACAACACATCCTCCTACGCTTTGCCATACATGTCCTGGTCCCAGGGAGAACCATTAATGATGCCTACAGTGTTTAACCAGAATCCGACCTCGAACACCTCGATAGAAGCGACTGCGTTCCCAGCTGGAATGCAACCCATACAGGCACCTCCGCCTACGGGAAATCAAAATTTATTTGCGAACGCAGCGAAAGAGAGACCCCCACATGGTCATGATGAACATAATCCGGATTATGCGAATTGTTTCCCGTCCTCAAATCCGAATGTAGTGACTAATAGTGCACATGAATCCTACTAAGTGCTCATTATACGTGGAACTCGGCTCTTTTTTGTTTCCTGATTTGGTCGGTTTTATGTAATTATTTAGGTTAAAACTTTTAGTTATATACATTTTTAGCACCAAGCTCAAAAATGAGTGAAATAATTTTTTTTCTCACTAACGAAGATCAAGCCAACGAAATTTTGAAAGACCCAAGTTCTTTTTTTTATTTGGAGATAGGTTATCGAAAGGAGTCGTGGTTCTCAACCGAGCTTGATATCCTTGATTGGAAGCTAGCTAGAACATTTTATTTATTGGGCTTGAAAGCCGTGCTGCCTCTGCGTTGCAAGCAGTTTGTGTAAGAAACTTGTCTGAATATTTCAACTCGAGCCCGTATGAGGTTTTGAGCAAGTATTTGGTTTAATTCTCGGTGCTAAATTTGTAATCAATTCAAAATGGAATAAAAAATTTTGTTGTGAAATTTTCATTTAATTTGATGAATAAATTTTTGCCACTGTCAGTTTTGGTATAGATGAATAATAGACATTCTTGTTTCTTGCGTTTTTTTGCTTATTTTTGATTAATATAGCGACTGAATTTTTCGCTTGAACAACTTTTGTTCGATGGATAAATAAACATGACTGCCGGTATCTGCACGATGCCCTAAATGTTCCGACTGCCCTTTAATGTCTGAGTAGTGTTCGATTGAAAAAAAGTTTCGATGTACGAAATAATGCAAGTTATTTAAGTGTCAAAGAACGAAGTGATTTTCCTTTATATAGGTCGTGATGATTACGCTAGCGGTTAGCGTCGTGTATTACTACGAAAATTCTTTTTTTCTAACCTAACTCGCAAATAAACAAAGTTAATTAAAAGTATTCACTTAATTGATGGAACTTTTGCTATAATCACGATCTGTAGAATTGGAAAATACATAGCAACAGATCTCTGTTGTATTTGTGGCTTATGTTGTGATCAATTAAGCGACCGTGGCTCAGTGATTATTGGGTGAGACTCGTTGTCTCTAGGTCGCGATCTGTCTGATTTCGAATCCGAAACGTAGCCGAGTATTTACTTAATCGATACTTATTTCTATTTTTTCAATTGGTACTTTACTGAGCTGCTTTTTGTGGTCAAACTAGTATTTGCGGAGCAAAGCATCGCCTCTGTTGACTCCACTATCGAACAGCAAAAATGAAAAATTCAAGAAAAGTCAAAAATGAATTCTGGTTTCAAATATAGGTTTTATTTTTCTTGAATAGAATTTAATTAGCGGAATACAAAATTACCAATGAAAAAGTTGTAAAAATAAATCATCCTCTACACGTTTTTTAAAGTATAGATTGGTATATTGAGCATATAGTAACGTATTAATTACATTAAATAGCATGCCTCATTTCAATTTAGTAAGGTTTCTGAGCCGGATTAAATTGCCGCTTACGCGTTGAAGGCACGAAAATATTGCGCGTTTATTGTTCCAATTTGAAAAATTTCAAATCGTTTTAAGTCGAATTTGACTTAAAAAAGAGAACGCTCCCCGACCACAAATATTCTGTCAATTTTTTCGAACGTCGGAACTATTAAATAGCCTTCTCCTGTGTGAGTTTTGTTGCATAAGGGTTGAACAATAGTTTCATTTCTTTTGTTACCTAATATGCCTCAAGAAGATCATTTTTCACCGTTTTGGGCTGAATTATTGCGTGCGTTCTTTTCAAAATTGTATGCATACAATGCAAATGCGTAAGCAGCAGCTGTATTAGAGCGAAGCCTTGGATGTTCCGACTCACCTATACGAGAATGAAACAGTTTTTTTTGATAATATCCCCATAAGCTATTTGGTGAACAAAGTGATGTATTTAGCGTCCGCAACGTCGCATTGTGACCATAAGAGCTTGCCTCATTCATTTTGAAACATTAGAAATGATTAGAAGACTTCGTTACTACGCATACTTAATGTAAATAAGATCAAATCAATTAAGCACTTGGTTTGGATGAAGGAGGGGAACACGTACAATTTTTTTTTAAAAAATTGTAAACAAATTTTACTGTTTAACAAAAAAATCGTTTTTCAAGCGAATTACCTACAACGAGACGACGCAGGGATTTAAGATTAACCGTTTCACCGTTTATGGCTATGATAACTTTTTTCCAAGGCTATTTGCATTTGCACACGAACACACTGATAGCTTAATGATTATGTTAATTGTCTTGCAATGACTGTGCTTTGTTTTTTTTTCATGTTTAGGGCCATGTTTGTTTGTTTTTTACGAGAGCACTTTAAATTATCAATTACGGACAATATTGCCAACCTTTTTGTTACTAAAGGTCTTTTTTTTTGGGGGGGGGGGGGTGGGTGCGGTGAATTCGTTTAATCCTGTTGAAGTTTACAACGTGACTTGCTTTGCTTTTCCTGACAAAATGTCATTGATTTCTGCTTAATGTCCGTATCAGTCATTTTTATTTTAAGCCAGCTTATCAAATTATACAACTACCGTGCATCGTCGATGAGCAAAAATTTAGCTCAAGAATGATCGACTACATTACTGCTTCTTGAGTTTTGTTTCGATGCCAATTTATCATTCACTTGTCTTACTTGGCATCTTTTCAAGACAAAACGAGACGAAAATATTACGCTTACGATTAGATTAGCAAGCGTTATCAAACTGGAAAATAGATTTTTCGGGTTAACAGCTACTTTTACAGAATCACTTAAATCATTTTACTTTTGGTTCTTATCAAATCAAAAGTCAGATGTTAATTCGTGCACGTGGCGCAAAGGTAACGCACTTCCCTATATAGATAAAGGTCAACGGTTAGAATCCGACCAGCACCTGTTTTTTTTGCAAGCGGAAAATTGTCCGTGAGTCGAAAAATCTTTGTCGGACGTCTGTTTGTCTGCTTTTTTGTCGGCTTTGTTACCGCAGCATCAAATTTGTCAGTTGTGTTGTACAGTGATATAGTGATCAGCCACGACCTGTAATTGTTTGGACCGAACACTATTCGCCGACTAGGAAGTAGGGATTTTTTGCTTGCAGTTAATCTGCCTAATACTACAATTCTTATTGGTTGATTCAATATTTGTCTACTAACTGACCTGTCTGTTTAAATGGCTCTCTACTGAATGCTATGCAAATTATCTGAAAATTAGTCTCTAATGTAGCTCAACAAAGCTTAAGATGATCATCGTTTTCTAAATTTTCTGCAAATATGTTTTTTTTGATAGCCAAAAAAAAAGATTTTTTAAACATTCTAGACAATTATGTAGATTTTTTGTATTCAAATCGATTAAGCTGTAAAAAGGCCTTGCTTGGATTGTTACTCATTAATCGACCCTGTTGCTTGAGCGTAATTTTTGATTGATTATAAAAGTCAAAAGTTCCCATTTTTGTGGTAAAATTAACTTTGCGTCCGAATTTTGCAATATAAATTCCATCATAATTGTGGTACTGCTAAGGCAATAATCCTTATTATTTAGGGGGATCGGATGCCCGCCCCTCAGAAACTCGACCCCCTGCCGACCCAAAGGGAGCCCCTTTGTACTAAATTAAGATATTCATTTTAGGTCGACGAACCCTAAAATTTGACTAAAGGCGCCTTCAGAGCCAATATTAACTAAAATTTATGGGGGAAGCGCGCGCCAAAAAATCTCGATTTTTTATCATTCTTTTCCAAAAAGTGCATAAAAACTCCTTTTCTGGACCATTTTTTCATAATTTTTGAATTTCAAAAAATATGTTTGATTTTGAGAAAATTAGGCCAAAAGGGTCTTTTTAGAGCTTCGGGAGAGCTCGGAAAATCAAGGTAGTCTACCTAAAAAAAGGTCGACTAAATTTTTGAAAAATGTATTAATTTTGAGGGGGGAGATTTTTTTGGTCAAAAAGTGCTTAAAAGCACGCCTTGTTTGGCTTGTTTTTTCAAAATAGTGCTTTGAGAGAGCTCGAAAAATCAATTTGGTCGAGCAAAAAAAAACAAGAAAGTCGACAGAATATTCGAAACTTTTTGAAAATCCGTCCACCCCTCGAGAAAGTCCTAGATCCGCCTCTGATGTCAATAATTCTAAGCAAATTTTTTCAGCGTGTAAAAACCTGATTGCTCTAATGACAACTAAGTGTTCTTAATTAGGTTTTTAATTAGGCTGCACTTAATCTTTCATCTTGTCTGTATCGAATTAAAATCTAAAAACTGAACGATTTTTGTAGATAAATCAACTTTTTTCTGACTGTTCATAAAGAGTTTTTAGGATCTAGATATTATATAGTTATTTTTTTGTTAATCCTCAATGATAGTCGATAGATGATTTCAGACTGTTATGAATTGTGAGAATTTGTACCAATCGAGTAATGCCCGTGTCCAATCTAGATGCCCTCATCAAAGAGTCTGTCAGCGGCGAGACGCTTGCCGCCGCACCGTTTGAACAAACCGTGAAAATATCTCTATCCAATATCAATCCTAATAAACCCACTCTCTCGAATTGCAGTGCATCAAGCTCAGGTGTTCGAAGTCTCATTAACTCATCGATAGACTTCGAGAAAAACGAGTCAACAGAAAATCCGCTCTATGATGCTCTGGAGCGAAACCCGAACATCATACACGTTTCTAGGAAAGAAGATATGTTCAAACCTTTCTCGTATTTCAGCCGAAACAGCAGTAGTTCAAATAGTAGTTCGAACAGCAGTCAAAGTAGCCAGAATTCATTGAACGGATTCCGGAAGGATCTCTGCAACGGGAAATCTGCAAATCATCAAGTGAATGATGATGTTCCACTTCCCAAGTTCCACCTCTTCCAAGGTCAGATTGACGTCAATTGGAGGAACCGCGGATTACAAGCGGGCAGTGGGTTGCACAATCAAGGAAACACCTGTTTCCTAAACTCAGTACTTCAATGTTTAGCTTACACGGCGCCTCTGTATAATGTGCTTGTAGATGATAATCACGCGGCCAAAGCGTGTAAGATCCAGAGCCAAAACTGCATGTTGTGTGAGGTGCAAAGAACTGTGAAAAGAATATTCGATCACCCTCAAAACGCAATCAGTCCGAACTCAATTGTCCATCGAATTCGAGAAATCGGCAAGTGTTTTCACCCAGGTAGACAAGAAGATGCGCACGAGTTTTTGATTCATTTTTTTGAGTCGATGCAAAAAGCGTGTCTGAACAATAAGCCCAAGTTAGATAATTACACACAATCGACAAGTCTTTTGCACCAAATATTCGGAGGATATTCTCGCAGTCAAGTTATCTGTTCAAAATGTCACAATCGAAGTAATACATACGAGACCTTTCTTACGTTGTCAATAGATGTCCAACATTGCCAAAGTATCCGAGATAGCTTGGGACGTTATACAAAGAAAGAGTTTCTAGGAAATGCGAACCTCTACAAATGTGAAAAATGCAAGCAGAAAGTGGAAGCGACACGGAGAGTAACGTTTCACAGACTGCCGAAAATTTTGGTTCTTCATTTGAAAAGGTTCAATTATAATGGCCTTAATATGAAACTGAGTAAACATTTGAACTTTCCAGACATCCTTGAAATGAATCATTTCTTAAGCGAAGGTGTAAGTCGCGCAGGAGCTCAGTATCAATTATACGCAGTCTTGGTTCACTCGGGTTTTTCATCGCATTCAGGTCATTACTACTGCTTCGTTAAAGCCCCCAATGGTATGTGGTATAAATGCAATGATTCCCATGTCTCAAAATGTAGTGTTAATATGGCAATGCAATCAGAAGCCTACATGCTCTTTTACTCCCAGAAACAACCGCCTCAGCAGAAAAATGAGCCCTCAGATAACACCTCGTTGTCATCAAAATCACCTTTGTCAGAATCAAATAAAATAGCTGATTCAATGAGTAAATCGCCAATAATGAACGGAAAAGCTCATCATTTGGGTCCGAAACAAAAACTGTCGCTGGATGGTTTGACCAATGGTATCCGCGAGCATCATAAGCCGACACTGGAAACATTTCCAAAAGTCGGAGCAAGTGCTGTCAAAAACAGTACAACTAACAGTGATCGTGACTCTATATCGACGAGTTCAACTTCCACGGGGCTGAAGACATCGTCGTCGACTGTTAAACCGACTTTGAGCTTCAAGATTCCGAAGCGGTCCGAGGAAAACGAAGCAAACGATATGAACAATTCGAAGATGTTACAGAATGCAAATGAGAATCTATTACAGAAGTGTCACAGCTACAGTAATGTCCAGAAACCGGCGACTGAGTCTTCGTCGTTATCGTCGAGTTCTAGTTCGGGCTACGACAGATTGCACCCATTTGCATCTTCTGAAAGTGTGAACGGAAAAGGAAGTGAAAAGTCAAAAAGTGTTCTGCAAAATGGCAAAGGTAGAATGACATTTTGTTTTTTTTTAATGCAGAGGCTGTTTACACTTACACATACAAGTGTTTTATAACCGGGCACAAGACTTTTTTCAGTTAATAACTTAAATTATCAGGCGCTGAAAGAGGTGCGCTGACATAAAAAATCCAAAGTTTCGATCTTATATACTCTACTATGTCAATTTTTTTGTTTCATTAAAATTTGCCAGCGGCGCAGAAAATTATGTCAACATAAGGCCTTTATAGTGTTCTGGAAGCGCTCGGCAATTTGGTCGACCTAAAAAAAGGTGGACAAAATTTTCGAAAATCCGCCCCTCCCTCGAGAAAATCCAAGATCCACCCCCTGTATTGGGGTCAAATAAAGGAGAAGCAAGAAATGCTTTTGTCCCCTTACTTAAAATTATGCATGCCTTGTGTTTAAGTTAAGAGTTGACTTTTAATTTTTTATCAAATAAAAATTTGAGTTGATTTAGGAGCGGAAAGAAGTACAACTCTGGTGTCATATGCATTGGCCGAAGACTCGGACGGCAGTGACAGTGACGACAGCGGTGATGATGATAATCAAGAGAGGGAGAGAGAGTATAGAAAGAAAGAGGTAGTGAAGATGAGCGAAGAAGACGGACAACCACGGCGCAAAATGGCCAAGATAGATGTGAGTCCATTTTCAGGAGTTTTATCCTATAAATAATGGGTAGAGATCTCTAATTGGTAAAGATCTTTGGCGGTACAGATCTTTTAATAATTGGTTAAGATCTTTCTATGGTTTCTCCCTAAATTTTGGCTCAAATTTAATCAAACTCTTGTCGAATCTCTGCTGATTGGCCGAAAGCTTTATGTAGCGTGTAAATGTATGTTTTCGAGCCAACGAAGTTTACGGATTCTCAAAACTAATATGATAGGTGCTGATTTCGGTTTTGATATTGGGCGCAGACTTCACTGAAAACATACAAAAAACGCAGCTGGTAAATGTTTTAAGATGCCTTGTCGATAGACAATTAGGAAGACTTGGTTTATTACGCTTGCGATAAGAAAGGTATTGCAATCGGGTACTAGACTTCTGTTCCCGTAAATAACTTTGTTCGCCGAATGGTCAAATGGTAAAGAGTATGTTTTATATCCGTTGCACGGGCAGTGTACCTGTGCGTAGTTATTTAATAGCATGGTAACTGTATTGGCCTTGTGTTTACGTTAAGAGTTGCCTATTAATTTTTTAAATCAAATTTGAACTTTTTTTTGCAGATTTTCGGCATTTAGGTCGTTCGGCTTCATTTTCGTCGGCTTTTCCCCAATGTTTTTTTTAAACTAGTTTTGTTGCTTTTATACCAATTAATCTCTGATGAGAATTTTTTGAAAAATCTAAATCACTCTCTTAAGCCCTCCGTAATACAATTGGAAAAATTATCAATTTTTAAAAAATCCACTTTCGGCTTTTTAGTTAGTTTATCATAATAAATTCACATTTAATCAATTATCCAGCGCATCTGGTGTAGAGGTTACACATTTACTTGACGACAAAAGCTTGTGGTTGAAATCCAGCGTTAACTTGTTTTTGTCCGACCTAGACTTTTCCGCCTTTACGTGCAATCATCTGTCATTATTTTTTTTTGCTTAGTTCTTGCTGCACAGACACTTTTTGAAGTTTCAGCTTTCTTGTAATTTTCTGAAGGCCACTAGTGGAAGTAATGTAGTTATATAAATTTTTTGCCCAATTTTTGTTGCTTTTTTGAAAAGTTTTTAATAAAAATTTTACAAATAAAGTTTCTTAAAACTGTTTGAAAATTCCGTTTTGTCAATTAATGAGCACGGATTTATTGCGTATGCGCATATTTTTTCTGCGCTTCGTTGTGTTGCTACCGCTACGTAATTTTTGTTCTGATGGAAATTTAACGTTCAATTGCTTTATTTGGCATGTTTTTTTTTGTTAAAATTGTTTTTTATTCCTGACAAATTGATACAAAGATATGACAGTGTTGGTAGATTTAGATTTTCTGAAAATGGTTTCATTTTTTCACTTTGCAGCTTTCCTCTCAATTTCTGTCTGCTATTTTGTTGTGCTATGTTTTTGATGTGTTCATGTACTATATGTCTAAGTTTTCTGTTTAATGGTTTTCGACTTAAACTGTCGGTTAAGTTTCCGAATTGGATCTTGTATTCCTTACATATAAAGCACTCGTGGACACTTTATGAGCAGTACATTTCGGTTAATTTACTGCTTATTGGCTGTCGGTTTTATCTGTGTCGGCTTGTTTACCTAATATATTGTTTCCTACAAATATCCGATTTGATACTCCGGCCATTTTTTGAACCCCTGAAAAAAAAACGTAGAAAATTTAAAAATCTTGAAAAAACAAGAAATAAAAAATTCATAAATTTTAATACTTTTTCTTCGCGCGAAGTCATCGTTGCTACTTTTTTACCGTCATGCTGTTTTAATCCTATACTTCTGTATCGCAAGTAGTGCGAAGCTCAGCTTCGCCTCTGTGTTCGGAGTTTTTTTTGGTAGCTTTTCAAGATATTTCGAGTCAAGCTGCCAGGTGACATATCTGCGTGCTCTAAAACTGGATTCGGATACAATATTCGACTAGTATAGAGAAGTCGACTTGTATATTCGACACTTGAAAATTGGATTCGGATACAATATTCGACTAGTTTAGAGAAGATAACATCCTTAATCGAAATTGGGTTCTCAAATCTTAGTATTACGAAAAAAAATATACGCTTTCCATTACTCATTGTCTATTTTTAGTGTACCGAAGCACAAAACAAAGTGACAAATGACGACAATTCTTCGACAATATCTTCTAACCTCAGTTTCTTCACAAGCAGCGGAAGCAATTCGGCCACAGACTTGTCGGAAAGAAGCAACACCAGTGCCAAAAATGCGCAAGAAGGGAAAGCGAAGACCTCAAAATACTTCAATTGCGATCAAGTTGACAGAACTAAATTGTCTTTAAAAAATGGACGTTCGAAATCTGGAATCAACTCAGCCCCTGCATCTCCGAGATATGGCACTGATTCGCTATTCCTGAGATCTAATGGAGCGTCGATGATATCACAAAATGGTTCAATTAATACGGATCTCACGCAAAATGGATGTTCGGATCTGAGCGGCGAGACGTTATGTCCATTGGAAAATGCGGGAAGTCGTATGCTAGATGGATCTATGAGCGATACAAACGGAGGTGCGAGGAGTCCTTCAGTTTCCTCAAACGAGTCGAAAAGCTCAATGGGATCAACTAAGAAAGCATCGCAACTTCAAAAGTTCAAAGAAAAGGTGAAGCAGCGGTTCAAATCTACCAAGTTCAAAAACGGTACAGCGTCTCCCGCGAAAAGAGAAGTGACTATTTCCACGGTTAACTCTGACAGCCCTGTTGAAAACGAAAATAAAGGAAATATGTCGAATAGATTTGCAGCAAGTCCCTACGACGAGCACAATTACGTCCAGTATAAACATAACAACATCAGCAACATTAACAATACGAAAACTGATTGCCCTTCAGATTCGAAAAGCGAAAATTTCAGACCTCCATTCCAAGGTCATAAAATGGCTGCCATTAATGGGGGCAGCTCAATCACTTGGAATGAAAGATCGGGATCACCGCCCAGCTCTCAGAATCGAATGAAAACTCAGCCCGTACCTGTGCCCAAAAACAGCATGCGACCTTCGAGTCTGAATTCAGGGCGGGACTTGAGCCTAACTCAAACGCAGAGTTTTGACCTTGTGGGTCATTTAACGCAGCAAGCTGTAACTAAATCATGGAACGGAGAACATCTGAGCGCTTCTGTGAACCTAAATAAAAGCTTCTCCTATGGAAGCAATGGGTTTGCAGGTGCCACTAGCAGGTATTATGACGATTTCGACGAGGAAGTAGATCGCGGTAACTGTCGAAAACGAAAGAGCGACGCCACTTTTAACCGAAATAACAACTATAACCACAACAATAATTATATCGAGTCAAGAGGTAACTATAAAGGCGGTTTCTACAATCACAACGAACACTGGTACCAACATGATCGAAACATGAATAAGTTCCAGAGTTTCCACGATAATAGACATAAAAATCGCGGGTTCAATAACCACTTTGACAATAGAAACAGGGGTTCTTACAGTTATAATAAGTTCCATTAACCCATAAAACTGAAAATAAAAACTTCTTCATTGATTTGTCATTCAGATTTATGCTTCTCTTATGTCTTAGGATCTCAAGAAGATTTATTGCAAATTATCCTTTCTCGTGATTAAAGTAGCTCCAATATTATGAAAGTGTATTTCAAATTTGCATTCTGCCATAATGATGGATGTCAATAGATTGTTTCAAACATCATTCTTTTGTTTCCTTTGAGATATTTGCAGTTAAGCCGAGTTAAATGGGATTATTCTTCAGAATAGTCTGAGTTGTTACAATTTGTGAAGTCATTGCGCGTTAACGGTTTTTCTTCTTTCATGACAAGTTAGGACCAGACAAGCAATAAATATCGCACGTCAACTTATATTGCGAAGGGCTAATTGTTTTGAATGATCTGTCTGTTTCGGGAGGGATGGGTCGAAAAAAATTGTACTTCAAAATTTTTATAGCAGGAATATTTTTTATGCCTACTGTTTCGTTTTCGGCTTAACGGATGTCGACCCAGTTTTTTTCGCTTTAGTTGCCGCTCGGTCATTGATTTTCAATGCTTGTTGAAGCTCTTTATGATCATCGTTGGGGCAAAAGTGTGAATAAACATGAAGTTTTTTTTCCGCTGAACGTTTTTGAAAAAAATATCGACTTCCTTCTTTTTTTCTATTCGCGATTTAGTAATGCACAATTCTAATTGTATCGCCAGTTAGTTAATGCTGAGCATTTTCAATCGAGAATTGTTTCAAAGCTTTTGCTTGTTTCAGAAGGGATGGGTCATAAACATTTTATTCGAAAATATGTTTTTTGCTTGAATATTTTTTATTAACGAGGGTCGACCCAATGTCTTTGCCATAGTTGCCGCTCGTTTATTGATACTCTATGCTTGTTGAGGCTTTTTATGGTCATCGTCGGGGTTAAAGTATAAAATTTTGTAGATAATTTTTGGCGTTTTCTCAAAATCTTTCCGCTTAACGTTTTTGAAAAAAAAAATGATTTCCTTCGTTTTTTTTCTATTCAATATATTGTAATGCACAATTCTAATTGTATCGCTAGTTAATTTGTGTTGTGCAGTTTCAATGGAGAATCGTTTTCAAAGCTTTTGCATGTTTCAGAAAGGATGGGTCGTTCACATTTTATTCGAAAATATGTTTTAGCATGAATATTTTTTATGCTTAGTTTTGTTTTCTGATTAACGAGGGTCGACCCAATGTCTTTGCCGTAGTTGCCGCTCGTTTATTGATACTCTATGCGTGCTGAGGCTTTTTATGGTCATCGTCGGGGTTAAAGTATAAAATTTTGTAGATAATTTTTGGAGTTTTCTCAAGTTCTTTCCGCTTAACGTTTTTTAAAAAAAATGATTTCCTTCGTTTTTTTTCTTTTCAATATATTGTAATGCACCATTTTAATTGTATCGCTAGTTAATTTATGTTGTGCACTTTCAAGGGCCAATTTTTTCTAATGTTTTTGAATGTTTCAGAAGGGATTGGTCGTAAAAATTTTATTTGAAAATATGTTATTGATAGAATATTTTTGCGCCTAAAGTTTCGTTTTCGGCTTAACGAGGGTCGACCCACTTTTTTGCCTTAGCTGCCGCTCGGTCATTGATTCTCAATGGTTGTTGAGGCTCTTTAGGACCGTCCTCAGGTTCGAAGGAGGTCAAAACAACTGTTGTCGAAATGCGTTCGACCAGTTTTTCACTTTCATCTCAACACGCACAAAAAAAATTGTTTAGAAAGAATTTTATATGAAAAAAGGAGAGAAAAAATAACTTGTTGTTTTATGAATGGTCGGAATATTAGGTGCTATTTGCACAAAAACTGTCTCCTCTTGTTTTCGTTGCTTTTATTTGCGACATGAAGCTTAGTGTCTGTTCTATAGACATACTCAGGTTCGGCTTTGAAATGTTTTCCATTTTTTTGACAACGGAGACGGGTCATGCGTTTTGACATTTTTCTCACTGTTATGCACTGTGTATTCTCACTGTTAAGTTTTAATGAAAGATACGAGTTTTTATTCAGCTGGATTGTGTACTTAATTTGTTTTTGATCTGTAAAAAGCATTTCTTAGTAAAAGGTCAGTAAAAATGTTTTTTTTTCAGCGAAGTTCACGATTGGTTTTTCGCTGCAGTTATTTGAATTTTTTGTTTTAGTGTTGTTTCAGGTTCCTTCATTAAATGGAAGTTAATTTAGGCTCTCGATTAACAAAAGTGCAAATAGCCTGGAAAAAAAGTCGAGTACTGTTATTTTTAAAGCTTTTTTTAATTTGGAGCGGAAAATATGTTTCCTGGTTTATTAACACTTCTTACCAGGTTTGAACTATGTGATACTTGAAGTTGTCTAAAAATAATTTTACTTGAGAGGCCAAAATTTGAAAACGAAAAAATGATTTGCTTGATTTCTTGAAGTTTCATCGGAATTCAAAGTTTCTTTCAGTTTTAAAAGTTTCTTGTTTAAAAGGGTGATTTTTAAGTAGATCAAAAGATTTTTCTGAAATATGTTCTTAACTGTTTTATATGTTGATCTCCGTTGAGTATGCTGAATTTTGGAGTATTCCGAGAAAAATACTGTTAGATACAGTTTTCGATGACTCTTTTTGTGATGTTTTTTTCTAAGTCAATTTTTTAAACCTTTTTTCTTGCCTCGATTCATTGTTTCGGGTATAATTAGATTTAAAGTACGCCGCCTTTGCGTTGCCTAAATGCATTATTAATCAGGTTTTGTCTGATAAAGTTTTTGTTAAGAGTGTTTTTCAGAAGGAAAATATTTATTTTTAAATCTGTCGTATTGCTGTTTTGATGTTTTTTTTGTACTCGAAATTTATTATGTTAAGTTTTTATTCGGCAGAGGCAAAAATGCCTGAAAGTAACTGAAATCGAGTTTTTTTCGGCATCCTTTTTTTGGTCCAAATTCTAACGTATCATTTTTCTGCATTTTTTGTTGCTGGCTTAGTTTTCTGTTTATCTTTCTGTGATCGGCAAAGAAATTTCGAGTCTAGAACTTCATCTATTAAATCAAATAAGGGAACCATTTTTAAAAAAATTTTTAATACTGTGTGGAAGTCTAGTTCCGTAATTATTCGGTATTTATTTGGTAATAGTGGCCCAAGTAAACTGGGTAACTTGTTGAAACTTTGTCCAGGTTCTTGTTCAATTCAATAATTCAACAACAGCTTGAACTGCGAACTGCAAGTAGAATTAGGGCAAGTTCGAGTATGGGTTTGAGATCGTGTTTTGAGAAAATTTTCTGTGCTAAATGTTTTTACACAAATAAAAATGGTTTTTTTTTCGGCTTGCGCTCTTTCTCGTATTAGTGTATATTAGCGCCTTCAGAAAATTTTAAGGGTTGGTCCCCCCCCCCCCCCAACGACCTACAGTATCTACTAAAAAAATGTCACGTCTATAAATAAAACCAGTAAATTGACACTCTAGAGGGTTGTGTTTGAAATTCGAATTTTGCTGCTTTCTGATTGGTCCAAAATTCAACGAAGGGGGTAATTGTCAATTAGATCCAAAGCGGGTACCCGTTGGGCGTTGAAGAGGTCAAATCCCTGGGGGGGGGGGGGGGGCGTCCTCTCTAAGCCCGCTACTGATCAAAAAGATGCTCGGAACAACCTGTGGATAGCTTAATATAGTTTTCCTCCCTCAATAGAATTTGTGGTATCTATATTTTGCTAGCCAAATGAGACAAAACTGAACAACACAAACCTATAAATTTTAGGTATGAATTATTAACCAATATTTAACATTTAATCGGGGTTGAATCTACAATATACTGAACTGCTATTAGTTTTATAACATTGAAACTAATTTACAACAACTTGGGAGAGCTGTATAACATTGAATTCGACTCAACAGAAGGAAAACGAACTTTGCGGCGCTTCTGTTCTCGGGCTTTCGTTTCTAATCGTGCGCTCGCTGAGGCCTGGCGATTTGTCACTCGATTTTTCTCGTGGAATGACCTCACTTATTATGAGGTCATCGTTGTCGACGTCTATTACGCAACTAGAGAAATCAGTTGTCAAACTAATTTTCGGGTTCATACGTAGAGGTGGAATGGGTTCGGCCTTTGCTGATATAGATGTTATAGAATTGCCCTTGGTCATATCGGAACTGTGGACTACTACATCTCTATTTGAGCCGCCGTAACGCTGGTTTGCTGCGAACTCAGGGGAAATAATCGAATCGTTCGAGTTTTTTTTCCTGTACATTCTCTGTGGCTCGATTTGAAAGTCGGAATAGCTCATGTTTCTCTGAGGTTGGTAGGTCTTAAAATCACAGCTGTCACGTGATCGTTCGACGCGCCATGATGGTAAACTGATTTTCATTGCTGGCTTTATCTTTTTTCCAAACGTAGGGGTATGGTTATATAATATGCGATCATCTAGCGACGCGATCGAATTCTGTTTATCGGAAGTTATCAGGTTTTTTACGCTCATTGCTTTTGTCGCGGCATCGCCATCAAACCAGGTTTCGATATTCTGAAAAGTCAGCCTGAATTATTGTTCTAAGTCAATCTAATTTTATTTGCAAAGCCGGAACCTTCTTTCAAATAAAATTTAATTTCTGATTGTTTTTGATTTAATTAACTTTTGTGGTAGTAGACTTTCCCCGTAAATAACTTTGTTCACCAGATTCTACACGTTCCAATTTGCTTCAAAATTCGTTCATGCATTCAGCGCTTGTGGCGTAGCGGTAACACGCATGCTTAAGAAAGGAAAGGTTTGGGGTTTGATATTTTTTTGTGCAAGCTACAATTTTTCTGTTTTTTTTTTCGAACAAGCGGCCGTCTATTTATTTTGTCGGCTTAGTTCCCAAAGCAGGGACTATTTTTGAAAGTTCAACCTCCTTCTAAATATCTGAATACCAATTATAAGACCCCATTGGTAGAGGTAGTCGAGTAAAAAGATTTTTTTGCGGAAATTTTATTGCATTTTTGAAAAAAAATTCATCCAAATTTTACAGCTAAAATTTTTTTTGAATTGTTTTTAACGATTTTGCTTCGTCGGTTATATCGCATTCATTTATAATGATCGCGATTAGCAAGCGTTATCAAATTCGAATCACTGAATCATTTTTTGAAGTCTGCGCTTTCTTCAACCAACAGACATATTATGTCAACAAATAGCATGTCTCATGGTATTTTAATTATTACCATGTCTTCATTTTTAATTTTTGGTTACATTAGTTTTTTTGTTTTTATGTTGGTTTTATTTTAACCAACTCCGGTTCGCTATAGTTTCCGTTTTTTTTGGGCTTTAAGTTTTTAGTTAATGTCGAATGGGCTTAGTGGCCTCATATTGCGCCGTTTGATGAGCAATAAAGCTTCTCATGTGGGTTAATCTTTCGTGGAGATATTAAAAAAGAATAATGTATCTGATTTTTATTTGAAAACCAGTTTTTTTAAACTCTGCGGGTGTCTACTAAAAATGCTGTCCGCTTTGTTACCGCTTCGTAAATCATGTTGATGCAATTTTATCACTCAATTGATGTTTTCCTTAAATTTTTTTTCTCAAGAAAAATAGAGATAAAGATCGAAAGTTTTGATAAAAGCGGCTCTCGTCTCAATTTTTGCCGGCTAGTTAGTAATGCTATGTATAAATTTTTTTTGCAATTGGTCCCAAGCTCTGCTTCGCCTCTGTGTAGCAATTTCTTTTTTTTAAACAATTTTCCGCATGGAATGGAAGGAGTAATGGCCTAGCCTGGACTTTCTTTGAAGCAGCCTTAGTTAGCTCAAAGGTTGCTACCGACAATATCAAAGCCGATTCACTTGTGATTACGTTACGGAAACAAAATTTCAAAACATTCCCTCTGTGTGAGAATTGGTCTTTGTTATTGCTTAAAATAGTGTACGGACAGGACATACATTTTAGTCTTGATATATTTTTAACAATATTTTGCTCTTGAATAGATTGGGGTAATTAAAATCACCGCAGAAATAGTAGCATTTTTTCCACGAATTTAGACAATAAAGAAAGTTTACAAGGGTTCGAGATCGGTATTATATTTTCCTTATTAGATCTTATTACCGACGCTAAATCGCTTAGTTAGTAAAAAAAAGTAGGAAAATCGATACGATTTTCAATTTCCAGAACATTTGCAAAACTATAGTTGAGCCCGTTACGAAAAAATTGCATCATATAGTTGTTTTGTGACCTACATTGAAGCAAATTCTAAAAACATATTCGCAATTATGTGTACTATTGGCACCGCAGCTGTTTTTTGTGCCGACTTTCGTAACGAAAGTAACGGAATATTTGTGCTCGGGTTAATTTTTTTTCTTCAGACAAGTTTCGACTTTTTAACTAGCCTTTTTTGACGGAATTTTAAAATAACATTCAAAAGGTATGGTTGTCCTGAGCGTAAATTTGAAAAGATATTTCACCTGTAATCATTTTTAAAGTTATGGGGGTTTAAATATCGCGCGTTAATTGTCCCAAATTGGCCAAAAAGGCAATGTTTTTCGCGCTACTAACGCGTAAGCAGAGATTTGATCTCTCTTAGAAATCGTTCCACATTGGCTGAGGGATGCTTGTTTGCCATAATTGATTTGTTACTAGGAGCGAAATTAATCATGTACTTAATATGGCGTGTGGAGGGATAATTTTCACAAAAAATCTCAAATCTATACTATATTTAAATGCTAGTGACAGCTATCTTCCATGTTTAAGCTTAACAATTTTGCATGTTTAACGAAAGAATTTTTTCATGTTTAAGCCATATCATATATTGCAATGCTTAAGAAAATTTTTCAATTAGTTTTCCGCAAGGTCATTAATTTTTCAGTAATTTTTTTTCAAGGCCAAATTAAGTCTGTCTGTCTGTCTCAATACCTGCTTTGATTTGATTATGTCTGTCTACCCGTCTCCTAATTTTTTAACTTTGAATTTGGTTTCGACGATTTAGTTCAAAATAGTTCTGGGTGCTGTCAGAGTACTCTCAAGGATTGCGAATCTTTATCCAAATGAGACGTTTTAAATCCTTGTAGTTTTCGAGATATCACGTTTTTTTTGTGATTTTTTCAAACAATTTCTGAAAACTTTCTGAAAAATTTTTGGTTTCCAAATTTGAAATTCTTTACCCTGTTTTTGGGTGCTGTCATGGTACTCTCATCGGTTGCGAATCTTGCCTCCAAATATGACTGCTCAAATCCTTGTAGTTTTCGAGATATGACGTTGTTTGTGATTTTTCAAAAAATTTTCAGAAAACTTAATTATTTTTTTCTTCAAAATATTAAATTCCCAACCCTATAGTTAGGGGCTATCAGAGTACTCTCAGGTATAGCGAACTTTGCCTTCAATTTTAACCGCTCAAAGCGTTGTAGTTTTGGAGATATGACGTTTTTTTTGTGATTTTTTCAAAAAATTTGTTTTTGAAATTCCTTACCCGGTACTTGGGTGCTGTCAGGGTACTCTCACGAATTGCGAATCTTGCCTTCAAAATTGACCGCTCAAATCTTTGTAGTTTCTGAGATATGACGTTTTTTGTGATTTTTCAAAAAAAATTGCCGGAAAACTTATTGAAATTTTTTTTTCAAAATTTGAAATTCCCAATCCTGTAGTTGGGGGCTGTCAGAGTACTCTCACGGGTTGTGAACCTTGAATCCAAGTATGACTGCTCAATTTGAGATATGAAGTTTTTTGTGATTTTTCAAATTTTTTTTCAAAAAACTCAAATCACTTTTTTTAAGTTTGAAAATCCTGACCCTGTAATTGGGTGCTGTCAGGGTACTCTCAAGAGTTGCGATTCTTGCCTTCAAAATTGACTGCTCAAATCCTTGTAGTTTCTGAGATATGACGTTTTTTGTGACTTTTCAAAAAAATTGCCGGAAAACTTAACGAATTTTTTTTTCAAAATTTGAAATTCCCAATCCTGTAGTTGGGGGCTGTCAGAGTACTCTCATGGGTTGTGAACCTTGCATCCAATTATGACTGCTCAATTTCTTGTACTTTTTGAGATATGACGTTTTTTGTATTTTTTTTCAAAAATTTTTTCAAAAAATTCAAATTAATTTTTTTTTAAATTCGAAAATCCTTACCCTGTAGTTGGGTGCTGTCAGGGTACTCTCAAGAGTTGCGAATCTTGCCTCCAAATATGAGTGTTCATTTCCTTGTTGTTTTTGAGATATGACGTTTTTTGTGATTTTTTAAAAGAAATTTCAGAAAACCCAAACAATTTTTTTTCTTCTAAATTTGAAATTCCCAGCTCTGTAGTTGGGGGCTGTCAGAGTACTCTCACGGGTTGTGAACCTTGCATCCAATTATGACTGCTCAAATCTTTGTGGTTATCCAGATATGACGTTTTTGTTTTTGTCAAAGTTTTCAGAAAACGAAACTTTGATTTTTTAAAAATTGAAATTCCTAACCCTGTAGTTGAGTGCTGTTTGGGTACTCATAGGGGTTGCTAATCTTGCCTCCGAACATGACTGCTCAAATCCTTGTAGTTTTCGAGATATGAGGATTTTTTTCTTTGATTTTTCCAAAATCTTCAATTAACTTAGGCTTTGAAAAATTCTCAAAATTTAAATATTCCAACTCTGTAATTGGGTGCTGCTAGGGTACTCCCAGGAGTTGTTAATCTTGCCTCCAAATATGATTATTCAAAGATTTGTACTTTTCGAGATTTAGCTTTTTCGAGATGACGGAAAATAGGAACTTAAAAGTTTATACAATATCAAATTACCAGCGATGTAATTGGGTGCTTTCAGAGTGCAAAAGCCTGTAGATGTGGTTTCCAATGTATGCGGTTTTTCTTGAGTTGTTAAAAGTTCGAAGCAACGGAGGTGCGTTACACGCTAGTTTTTTTTCAAAAAAAATGTTCATTTTTTTATTACTTTTAATTTCTTCATGTTACTGCTCCATAGACCTTAAAGGCATTCGGAACATTCAGGGCTTCGCCCTGATACGAGCAGTCTTGTTTTCCTTGCTATTTATTGGTTATTTTTGCCACTGACGGATGGAAACATTTGGCAGTACGTGGACTTTTGTGGTTTCTATACGGTCTCCTGGGACGTTTGAAAACCGCATCATGTGTGAATTTTACATTAAACAGTTTCCCCTTAATTTTCAACATTTTTTCCGCAGTTTTGATTTTCTATTTGTAAGTCATGGTACATTTGTCTGCAGTAGAGTAGAAATCTCTTGTTTGGACCGATCCATTTCTAAATCGTTCATGCCTATAAATTTTAGATGGACTGAAATTTAAATATAAAAACGTCATAGCGTGGTAACTAAAGAAAATAGTATTTTTAACAAGGCAAGTCAATTATATGTGACAGATTCTATTATAAATTCTGGCAAGATCTAAAAATGCTGAAAAAGGAAAACTGGGTTGTTTTTTGTTTGATCTAGCTTTTCAAACAAACAGGTTTTATGTATTCCAAATTTCTGCAAGCATGCATGACTTAAGCTAACTTAATTCCCTGTAAATCACACTGTCTTAAGATGATATCTTCATTAGAATGCATGGCGTTAATGATCAGAATTTTGTATTTTGGTGCGTTTCAGTGATAGTCAATTGAACTTTCATGTATTTCAATTTGCTGATTTATAATATTTTACACAAGATAATTTTGCTATCTATACTAGAATTAGTTTTGGCAAATTTGTTGAGGAAATTTTTCAGTCGAGCTTTTTAAAAGCTTGTGACAATTTATTTTTCAATTTCTATAAATTTTTTTGCCAAAATCCCATCCATTTTTTTGATGCTTGCAGTTTTTATCAACATGAGAGAGAGCTTTTGAGATCTCTCCCTGAATATTGCTTGAATTTTCAAATCGCAATCAAGATATCAGCGTGAGCAACATTGTTATTTTTCCAAATGAGTTTATGTTGAGGGTGGGGTTATATGGCGGTCAAATCTCATGTAATGTGACATATTTACACAAGCCAAGCTTGTTTGATAATATGAACTCTCTTTTTTTTGGAACCTAAGTCGCAAATCTTGTTGCGACAAATTGTGTTCATTTTGAAAGTTTCATTTTGATCAATAACCATTTATTAAGTGCAGCCAATGCTAAGGATATTAACACAGTTTACCTTCAAGGTGTCATGGATCTGTAGCGTAGAGGTAGGAAAGGAGACGCGCAACAAAAAAAAAGAGGGTTCGAATCTGGGCAGGGTCGGATGTTTTTAATGAAATTTTTCGTATACTAGTTAAAACGGGTCCGCTTTATAAATTAAGGCAAGTTAGTTGGTAAAGTTCTTTTTTTTCAAAGTGACTGTTACTGCTGGTAGACACATAATTGGCGTGCGTCACTTGAGAAATTTTGTTGACTCAAAGTTTTACTCATTCAGTTTTTTCCCGTAGCGTTATCGGTCATATTTTTGCTTGTGTATGCGAAGTGCAACTTCGCCACTGTGCACGATATGCCGTGCAATACTTATGCCAAATTCTGCTGCAAAAACATGTTACGTATCATGAATATTTGCTCGTTAGCTTGAATTTAGTTTACGATATGTCGGATAATGTGGTACCGCGACAGCTCGTAAAAAAGACAGTCAAACCGTAAAAAATACCGGCAATTCGTAAAAAAGGCAACTCGTAAAAAAATACAACTCGTAAAAAAGACAACTCGTGGATAAGACAACTCGTGCATAAGACAACTCGTAAAAAGAAAATTCGTAAAAAAAGACATCTGGTAGAAAGAGACAATTCGCAAAATTTAAGGAATTGTATTGAAATATTTTGCTTGTATTGTGAGTGCGTATGTGTGTCCGTACTTTTTTATGGATGAGGGGGTTCTAAAATGAACAGAAGATAGGTAGGTACCCTAGGTTGAGTTAGACTTCGTTTAGCCTGTGCAGCAGCTGCTAGAGACTGTCGCCTGCTGGGGTTACTCGTAGTGTCAGTCGCAGCAGTCGTCGAAGGCAGACCTGTCTTGTAACTACTCTGACGCTGCCCAGTTGTCCGTAAGAAACGAGACCTGTATGTGAAAAATAAACAAACTTTGTTGACCTCTCTTTCTATCCTCCTTCTATATCATATAATGGCGCCTTGTTAAAAAATATACCCTTTTCAGGGCGGATTTAGGATTTTTTGAGAGGAGTGTTTCTGAAAATGGATTTTCAAAAAAAAAATTTGGTCGACTTTTTTTAGGTTAACAAATTCTTGGAAAAGAAGGCCAAGTGGCAGTTTTTGAAAGGTTTCGACCAAAATCTCCCGTTTTTTTGGCGTGCGCTTTCCTCCAAAATTATTATCTATTGGCGCCAAAGGCGCCCTTGGTAAAATTTTAGGGTCGGTCGGCGGACAAAGTGCCTTTCTGAAGAAATAATGCAACTGTTACGCATATAGGTAGTTGTGTCTAAGTTTTTTTTAACCAAAGTAGTCATCTTGGTCATTTCAAGAACGGTCAATTTAATTTGTAAACGTTTGAATATTCTTCAGGCTAAAAATAGTACCAATGCACTTTTACGAATTCGCCTCAGTCTTAACAAACGCTTCAGGCGTGCTGAGAGTTTTTGATTGTATTCCGTCAGTGCTTTTTTTCTAAGGCTGTAGTTACTGTGATTTTTTCTGAAGATACTCTATTTAAATCTTCTTGATGAGGATGATGATACGTTTTGATGTTGAATGTCTTTGTTGTTTTTACCTTCGAATGAACATTGCAATAGTGTAGAGCCATAGAAGCACTAGGATGAAGACGATGACACTGCTCTGAATTTGACTGCTGAGTTCTGGTTCATCAGCGAAGTCAGGTGGCATGTAGCCGCTATAGTCTAGAACAGAGGTCAAAGACCATCAGTAACCCCATCACAGAGGCACCCCATCATAGTTGAAGTATCTCGAATAGTATCTCAAAAGGTGTTAATTGTATCTGAAAAGTGTCAATCATTATTTGTTCTAGAAATTCAAAAGAGCTTAATGTGCATCTTTTTTCTCTCTGAAATTCGGAAGTTGAGATTTTTTGAAAAAACAAGTCAGCTTTTTCTATTTACGTTCGTTCATTGAATCATTTCCAACTGTCTGTTGGCTATGTTTATACGACTTAGGAATTTATAACCACTTTTTTGGAACTTATAACTTTTGGAACTGTTTCAGTTTATGTTATATCGGTTTAGCCAACTTATGTTGGGTAATTGCGTGGGCAAAAAATATCCGAACGCGTTTTATTATGACAACAGTTTTGTTTTCGGCTCAACAGTTTTCGACCTAAAGTTTGTCGCCTTTGATGCCGCTCTCTAAATGATTTTTTAAAGGTTGTTTATGATCTTCATCCGATGCAAACACAAAGTTCTTGTAGCTGTAGCTTTTTCATTTTTTCAACTCAATTTTTCAGAATTTTTCTGACTTCTTTGTGTGTTAATTTTTTGATGGAAAAAATATTGAATGGAAAAAAATTAACACACAAAGGCCTCGCCTCGCCTTTGTGTGTTAATTTTTTTCCATTCAATATTTTTTCCCATAGAATCGCGAAATCAGTTTTCCTTCGAAAAAAGTCAGATGAAAATATATTAACAATATATTATGCTGTGGCCCTTTCAATCGTAAAACGTTGCATTTTAACAAACAATTTCAAAACTTTTTGCAGTGTCGGGGCAAACCGGTCGAGACAAAACTTTGTTTTTAGGCAAATATAGAGCAAGTTTTTTCATATTAAGTTGCTACTTTAGGTTTTTCGCTTTGAAAAACTGGTTTTGAACCTTCAATTAGCGCTTCTTGAGCACCTAAAGTTCAGAAAATTGATAAGAAAAATTTGCGAACTAAATGAGAAAATTGAAAACTAAATGAGAAAATTATTTGCGAAGTGCAACTTGCGTATGCGAAGGGCAACTTTTCCTCTTATTGAAAATATTCTGACTTCGTAGAATTCCAATTTTAGTCATCAGTATCTGTTTACCTTCGTAGAAGTACTGCTGATGCGATGATGAAGAGTTCTGACCAAGCGAGCCGAAATCTCTCTTTCTTGCTGTTGTAGCCAGACCACAGTTGGTTCCAGTTGTAGCTCCGGGGTTATCCATCCTTCAACGTCCTAGCAGACCGAATAAAATAGTCTCAACAATATTCCAAAAAAGGGCAAATGAATTTGGTGGATTCAGTAAAAAAAATGAAGAATTGCAAATTTTTTTCCAGTAGATAATGCAGGTGAATCAATATACTTCAAGGACTAAAGTAAGATAACATTGAACACGACTATGAAGTTTTACACTATTTTTGAATTTGGGTGCAAAATTTATTGTGCCAAAGTAGCTATAATGGGTGGAGAACAACGAAGGACTTTAAGTGACGTGTTTTCGAGACTAGAGCTCTTTGTGATTTGTTGACACGAGAACAAAGAAATCGAGGCAATAGATTAGAGTGAATGCTTGTCATCAAACTGGGTTCAATGAATTTGAATTTGCAGAGCGGGTTGCGCTCATTTTTGTTGCTCCGTTTTTTAAAATAAAATAACGGCAAGTTTTCTCTGCGGATAGTTGTGGAATTGAATAGGGCGGAATAAATTAACTCAGGCTTGAATGACGGCTAAATAGAAGACTGTGATGACGCTGCAGTGAACACGTTTTCGATTTTTTCTTATTTTCCCTCATTTACTAAATTAAAAACGTTTTTCTAATTATTTTAGGGCTCTCAGAGACGTTAATTAGACTTTAAGGCTCTTAGAGACAAATTGGGATGGTAAGTTTTGTTGTTCATTGTTAATACATGTGCAAAATGGATACGATTTGGTTAGAGTTCGTTTGCGATGCATTGTTTTTGTCTGTTTGCGCAAAATATTTTGAGTTTTTATTGGATATTTCCAATCTATCGATATTTCCTGTTGTCTTTCCTTTGGCGTTTTTTAAATGTTGGTTTTTGTTTCATATGTTGCCATTTTTTTCAATCGTCGACCGTATTTTTGTTTATTGACATTCCGCTGACGCTAGTGTTTCTTTTGTCTGAAACAAACATCAAAAGATACAAATCAAAATTTGTATTCCTAGGCCGTATTTTCTGTCGTCTAACAATGTTTTTGTTGAATTTTCCCCCCTTTTATCTCTGTAAATTTGATTAAAATGGTAGAATTTTAGTTAAATTAGGCTGCGGATGTAAAAAGTACGTAGGCCATGGAACCTATAGATAAGCTGTTTCCTGAAGTGATTCCATGACCTTTTGAAAATTAACTTCATATCGCGTTGGTTTTCAAAAATATTGGTTTGAAAGTTGGAGTTATTTTCGTTCGCATATTATTTTTAAAGTATAATGCGAAATTTCTGATATATATTTATATATACCAGGAAATGAAAATTTGATAGAAACGCTCTATCTAGGAGAAAAATAACGGATCTAGATTGTTTCTGGCCGGAGAAACCTGTTCAAGAAAAAACTTGCTACCCAAATTAGAACAGTTTTTCCGTAGAAAATGGCATTTTCGCGTGTAAGTTACTTGCGAACTTTTAAACTTTAATTTAAGCTGACCTTTCGGATTTGGTTAATCTTTTAGACGAACAAATTTGACATTTTGTTTAACAGAACTTATCCCAAAATGTTGAAGTTGCAGGTCTGTTCTTGAATAATGGATTTACCCAAAAACCGACTGTGATCTTTTTTCAATTCCTAAGTGATCTCTGACGTTATATCATTTCAATGGGATCTTCAAGTGCTTTAATGGATCGCGAAATTGGCAGTTATTGTATCGGCTGTTGCTAAAGAGAAGTTTTAATAAGGTTCCATTCATATAAGTGGAGTTGACCTTTTCAGGTGCCGGGAAAAAAGAACTGCCTGCGAAGTAAGAACCCCTTTGAATGATTCCTTTTAGCCGTGTTTCCGGAGCCTACGACTAGACCACTAGGCTAATGTTATCTTTGTTCAATGATAAAAGTGTATCTAGTCGAGTAATTCTCTTGAATGATATGGTTAGAGAGAATATTATCTTCCCTGAAGAAAACAGGATCAATAATGGTACAAAACAGTCGCAAAGTGGGAAGATAAAAGTAGGTTTATGTTAGTTAAAAAGTAGCTATGCTGTTGATTATTCAGTTGTTTGCACTATTTATATACAATTACTTCCTCTAAAAAATGCGAAAAAGTACTTTGATATAAATTTTTATCTGACACAATTATATTAATGGAGGATGTTAGAATTTTTTTAATTCAGGTTTTTTATACTAGCCCCATACAGCGGTGTTTTCAAACTCGCACATAAAAATTCTTCATAGATAGAACAGATAAGTGAAATAACAATGAAACAAAACTTATGGAATTTTAGTCATTATTTACCCTTGCGATAAGCAAGGGTATTGCAATCGGTTACTAGACTTTTTCCCGTAAATAACTTTGTTCACAGGACTAATCTCTAATGGACTAATTCAAATTCTTAACTCTCGGCTCACTTATCCTGGAGGTAACGAATACGCCTGGGACGGCAAATGTCATGGGTTGAAATCTGATCAGGACCTGTTTTTTTCGAAAGAAGAAATATTCTGTTTCAAATAAAATTCTGTCGGCCAATTTTTTTTCTGCAAAAAAACTATTTCATCCTGTTTTTTATTGGCTTACTGACCTAATTTTGGGTCGTTTCATGGGAAACACAATTTTACGCTCCCCTCTGCACTTTTTAAATTGGTTATATTTTTACCACTCGCTTTTTTGAATTGTTTTTCGGCTTTTTATCTGAACGTTTTGATGAAGGATATGCAATTTCTTGAGTTTTGAGTTTTTCTAATAAAAACAATTTTTTTTCGGCGCGCTTGTGTCTGCTCAATTCACTGCTTCTGTTACTGCTTAAAAACTACATCAGGAATGAAAGCTGAAATGAATGCTTATGATCTCGTTAGATAAAGAATTTTGGAAAAAATAGTGCAAAATTGTTTTTTAAATGGCAACAAAATGAGTTCAAAGGGTAATAGAGGGTTACTGTTCAAATATAATAAAATATTTTGAGCACTCTAAAAGAAGATAAAAATAATAAACGTGAGAGGAAATGCAAGATTTTTCCCATTTCTTAAAATGATTGCTCAATTTTTTCATTCTAGATTGGTCTGAAAAGCACAAATGCTCAGAATCATTTTTAGCAATCAAATGTTTTATGAATTTTTCATAATTGCTCAAATTATAGCTGACAGGGCATCAGAAAGAGAGAGAGAGAGAGAGAGAGAGAGAGAGAGAGAGAGGGAGGAGAGAGAGAGAGAGAGAGAGAGAGAGAGAAAGAAATATTTCGAAGTGTCAACCAACCAAATTGATTTTCTGAGCGCTCCAAGAACAATAGAAAGACCCTATTTTGACAAATCTTTCTGCGCCGCAGGCAAGTTCTTGAGAAATAGGTAAAAAGCAGTTTTTTGGCATTTTTGGAAAGTTTTGACCAAAAAGTTGAGTATATATTAGCACCTTCAAAAAAAACTTTAGGGTTGTTTGGCCAAACTTGGATGTCATTACACTTGCGAGAGCAACTGTCTTGTAATCGGGAACTAGACTTTTTTCCCGTGAACAACTTTTCTTACACATCATAATGGCATCAAAGAGAGAGAGAGAGAGAGAGAGAGAGAGAGAGAGAACTGATTTCAATTCAAGTAATAGTTAAGTTATATCCTAATAGTTAAGTTATGCCAGTTAAGTGGCCGCTTGGTAATTATTAAAAGCTTATTTCAATTTGGTGGTCGTGTTTTCGACTGTTTTGTGAATTTGTTTTAATTTTTTCCTATTTTTCTTAGATTCTGTTGTTTCCGTCTCATTCAATTCACTAGCTTACAATGCAGCGTTTTCAATGCATCGCAAAAGGTGTGAAACTCCGCTTCGCCTCTGTGTGAAATAATAGCAAAGGGGGACTCTTAGGTTGGCGAGGGGATCGAATCCTTGAGTGAGGAAGGGAAAGCCCCCCCCCCCTTGATACTGGTAACAAAAACCATTCAAAGTTAAATTATTTTGGTTACGGAAATTTGTTTGGAGAAATACTTCAGTTAGAAAATGCAACAATCAAATCGATCTTGGACATTCCCGCTGTTTTCAACCCAGGATTCTTATCGGAAAATGCAACAATCAAATCGATCTTGGACATTCCAGCTATTTTCAACCCAGGATATTGTTGACTACTTCAAACATTGGTTTGCAGAATTATTCTCAAAATTCATTCTTATGATATAATTAAATTGAGTTTTAGGGGAACCGTTTTTTAGTCATAGCCGAGTGTTCAGGGTTTCGCTCTTATAAGAGCAGTCTGGTTGCTGCTTTTTTCGAAGGAAAAATTGTTTTGTGACAGCTATGGAAATTCTGTAAACGTTTTTTAATGATGAATTGACAGTTTTCGAATGATTCTATTAAAACAATTTAAAAGTTCGATCATCGATTTTGATTTGGAGAAGTGCCAAACATTTTAGAACATTTGTAGCTTAAAATTTTGGTAAGCGTTTCCAATTGGTTTATTAAAGATAATCCTATTTCCGGTAACTTCCCAAATGGCATAATTCCCAAATAGCATAAATTTTTTTGTAAATTTTCATTGTAATTCAAACAGTTTCAATCAATTTCGAATTCTAACATTTTGTCAGGAGCGAAAACATGTGAACTTGATTTGGAATTAATTGTTTCCAAATGAATGTTAAGTGACAGTTGACCACAAGCTGATCAATAACCGCAAGCCTGTGCTTTTCAAAATGTCAATCAGCATTTGAATGGACAACTTGACCAATTTTCGCACGTTGTTCACGAAAAGTTTCTTTCGATTTTTTAATGCAACTATTGCCATTTGGGAAGTTTTTCATTTTTATGCCATTGCAGACTAAATCCTATTTCCCATTCAAGTCACATGATCCATTTAACTTAAACAATAAATCCAAAAAAAATGTGAATAAAAAAACGTTACTTTTTTCAGAACTTTTATGGATTTGAAATCAATTGTTGCAGATTTTAAAGACAATAAAGACCGGTTAGATGCAGCGACTGTCGAGAAATACTTCGCCTTTTGTCAAAATTTTCTCGTCAAAAAAGACCAGTTGGAAAATGATCAGATTTTGTGCCTGAAATGTTTATGTAATCTGATAGCATGCTATTCATCTAGCCTTCAATTATCCGAAATGTTGTCTGACGAACTATTGGCATGGCTGTTTGATGGAGTATCAAAAATTAATTCTGAAGATCATTATATTGTTCAGCGTAATTTGGAGCTAAAGCTCATTGGAAATATATTATCATCACCTAATTTGGGTAAAGTCAAAGTCCTTCATTTATGCGATATTTTGAAGACTCAATTTTTGAACGAAAATTTCGGAGAGATTACTAAACAATTTGCGCGTGAGTTGTTAGATACGACATTTATGATAGTCAACTCAGTTTTGAAAAGTCGTTATTTTATAGACTGGGTTGCAAATTCAGAAGAAAGATTTGGAACAGTTTTAAATTCAATACTCAAAGTAACTTTGGACACTAAAAGGGCAATGGGAAACAATTTCGACATTATTTTACAGTTTTCAATTGTAGAAACATTAATTCTATCGCCGAAGCTATTTCTCAATTTCGAACCGGAAATGAAGTTGTTTGTCTCCGAAATTATTCTAGAAGGTTCTGAATCTGCTGAAAATTACAAAGATTCAAAGGCTTTGTTCGTTTTTATTCAGCTTTTTGAACCTTTGTTTGAAAAATTGAATATAGGAAATTTGATATTTTCCGATACGGAATCGATTCTTTTGGGAAACGTCGTAAAAATCTTTGGAGAGATGAGTGTTGAAAAATCAAACGAAATAAACGAGTGTTTGCCCCAGTTATGTGATTGTGTTTTAACTATGCTTAAAAGTTGCCGCCAGGATAAGCGAAGCGAAGATTCTAATTCTTTAATAGAAAACTATGATGGCATTGTCAGCGATTTGACCAGACTTTTAGCCAACTTGGTGTACAAAAATCAACGAAAGCAAGATGAGTGTTACGATTACTTACCCATGTTGCTCGGAAACTGTAGAATTGATGAAAATAACTCGTTTTTAATGGAGTGGAATGTTTTACTCATTCGAAATATGCTGGAAAAAAATTGCCGGAATCAGAAGTTTGTTGCGGATTTGCAAGCAAAACAGGTTCTTCCAAATTCGTTTGTGGAAAATTTGGGATTAAGCGAAGCGCTTGAAAGAAGAGTATTTAACAAGTAAACACGTCTCTATATTTAAAATATTTATTTTCTGCGCAGGTTATGGTAAAAATTTGTTGAATTGTCGGAAATTAAATATAAGATGTTAATCCTATTTACCTATTTGCCTTTGAATTCAGACAAAAGCAATCGTGTGTAGGCCGCTGGAGTTACAATTTTCTTACCTTTTTCAAACAAGTGAGACAATGAAATTCATTTTGATTTCTTCCAAATGTCCAGATAAATATATACGCCGGTTTATAAACTGTCCTTAAGATCGATAACTTCACCATGATTTTCTGGCTAATTTATTACCCGCTGTCTTAAGGTCGCAAATTAATGTAAATATAACTATTTTACAAGGCCGCCATAAGCGGTTTGAATTTTCAAGGTCACAAAATAACTAGATTTTGTTTAAATACTATGGTCTATACTTTCTGAATTTTCTGCATTTCGTTCTCGTTTTGTTGCGTTGGTGTAATTTTGGATTCTTTTCTTACATTTTGGTGTAATATTTTAAGCGACTAACTGACTCTAATTGCAACGGATAGATTTCAAAAGTAAGTTGTTTCAGACTTATCCTCATAAATCTTGTAGGCGGACGCTTATATCTGAAGTTGATTTTCGACTTAATCTAAGTTATGTGCGGTTGAGTACACTCTTCGAGCGGTCGATCTCATGCGAACTCAAAATATCCGAAGAAACGCGCAAATTGCTGAACACTAAAACATATTTTATTGAAAATAATTACTTATAAGCCCTACTAGCAATAATTCTCTTTCCAGAAACCACAGAGACTTTTGTTTCATTTGATTTTTTCTAACCGATAGCTAACGAGCACTGGACATGGAGGTAATCCAATCAGCGACCTTAGTTCTAGGGCAGCCTGGGAATTCTCTACAACTTGTACTTCCCATTTGTTCTTGCGTTGAGCTACGGGTCCGTGCGAAACCAACTGCATTACAAAAAGCAGGAAAAATTAATGTTTGATATAAACAAATTAATTGTTGAGTTGATTGTTTAACAGTAGCTTTTGTTCATGTCGTGCTCAAGAAAGTAGCTGAGAAAATTTTTTTAAAAAAAAAACGTGTTTTTTTTACGTTTAAAACGTGTTTTATTGTAACCCAACCTCCTCTCACATAAGCATCAATTTCCCTACTTTGTCAGCAATATTTCACTTCAAGGCTCAACTTTTAAATTTCAGTTCCTTGATATTGGCTGACTGGGAGGGGGAGCAGAGTAACGAACAAAAATTTGAAAAAAAAATAGCTGTATCAAATTTTTCTTCTAAAAATACCCTAAAGAGCATTCAGAACATTCTCAGTTACAATACGAACAATTTTTGTTCTCGGAGTGGCTATATTTGCGAATTTTTGTGCTTATACTGAATTTTTGTGCTCGGAATGGCTTTTTCTGCAGATTTTTGAACCAGCCATCTTAAACAAGCGATACGATGTGGAAGGTATAAATACCTTGAGCTCAAGTTGTAAAAAAAACTATATTTAACCTGTAATCAGTTATCGGGGCTTGACCATTGGCTAATTAGGACCATTTACGCGCGATATATAACGTGCTGTTAACGCGTAAATGTCCGGATCAGGAATCGTTACGAACTGAATTGAGGCA